TCAACTCTAATCAGTGGATTTATGGGTTGAATTTTTTTATTATTTTATATAATTAGTCATGTTTTTTTATATTAATTTATTAAAATTAAATAATAATAATTTTGAATTAAATATTATAAAATAAATATACTTTTAAATCTTAATTATTATATTTGCTTTTAAATTTTTTCAAAAAAATATTACTAATTGAAGTACAAGTGACCCTCTAATATTTACATAAATTCATAATTAATATAACACAATTTAATATAAGTTATTTCTTAAATAAACAAGAATTGCCATTATAAATTGAGAATTGATATCAATCGTAAAATGAAAATGATACACCTTGAAGTCTATTTTTTAACTAAGTAAAAGACCTTACTTAAAAACAAAATTATATATATTCATCTAAGTTATTTATTTTAAAATACATTAGATAAATATATTTATTAGATTCATTATGAATATATTTTTCTAGTAATGAATATTTTTTTTAGCCTATTTTATTAGAAAATGGTGCATCATAATTTAACTTTCTAGATTCTAATATCATAATTAATTTTTCAAAAATTATATTTATAAGTTATTTTGATTTAAAAAAATTATCTAATAAAACTATTTTTAAAATTTTTTTAACTAAATGGGTCAAAGTTTATGGATTAACCCACGTATCACTTGTAACCCATTCAAATTGAGCTAAAGGGGTATGGATCTAATGGTAGTTGACCTTAAACCACTTTTGGCAAATTAAATTAAGGTTACGAATAGAGTTGGATTTTACCACCTCTAATTAAAAGTTATCCACCTCCCCCATGAGATTACATGGGATGGGATTTCATCTTTACAAACTTTACGCAAAATCTCACTCTCACCAGCCTCTCTCTCCCTCTCATGACCGTTTGATCTCCCAACGTCTTGCTCTCCTCTATCTCACTTGTCGCCAAAGCCAGTGCTACTTCAATGAGGAGGCTCTATTGCATCGATTGTTTGTTAGTAAGTCTCAGAACTATCTTCTCTTTTTTTTTCTGACCATTAACAATAACTCAGATCCCCTTTCATTCTGTCATTCGCAGCTCTTCAGACAATGATATGCTAGTCTCGTCTTCCATTCCAGTGAGCCTACTCTTATTTGTCTGGATTGTAGTTCATAGAATGCTTGATATTCCTATGTTAAGATAATTTATATGCTTAACTGCTTTTTCGAATTAAATTTTGCTTATATGATTGTGGATTGTTTCCCCTATTTTTTGATGCTTTTGAAATTCCTGTTCGTTAGGTGTCTCGGACTTCTAAAAAGATTGAAAATAACTTGTGGGGTTTTTTTAGTGTTTTTTTTTTTTTAAATATGGTTTAATCAAGTTTTGGGAATGCTCTGTATTTTTAGTGTGTTCCACCACTTCTTTTTTTGAGTGAATTTTAATTTTCTGAAGTTGATATATGAGTTGTTGTTTATTTCATGAAATCATCAAGAGTTATGTTATATGAATAAAAAAATTGTCATTGATTAAATGGCCGTCTACATTCTGTGTTGATGGAATCAATAGTGGTTTGATAGATGGTGTTAGACTAACTATGTGCCTTATTTTGTGTCTAATCATGAAAATTGAAATAGGTCTTTGCCATAAAATCTGGGGTGGTGTTCCCATTAAAAAGTGACTAAGTATTTGGTTTAGGCATGTGGAACTAGTTTAACCCTTTATCTTCATAGGCATACTTGTATTTTTTCCTTTTTTGAGGAAATGAAAGATTTTGATTTGTAGTAGTAATCTATTCTGGCTTTCTATAAATGACAGCTCAACAATGAAATCAGTTTGTTGAATACTTTCAAGAGACGTATGGCTTCACCATTCAGCACACACATTTACCTTGCTAATAGACATGTATTTAAGGTTAATTAGCCATCATATGTGAAATTATATATTTTTATTGACTACATGGATTGGTTGCTTATGACCCTTCTCTTGATCCCCCCAAATGTTTCAATGCTGCCTCTCGCGCTTTCACATTTTTCGTTTGTTGTACAAGGTTGGTTCTTGTTCTTATTACCAGGTTGGATTTTTGGGAACTTAAAGTAGATATTTGATTGAGCTTAAACAAAATTGTTAAAAGCGAGATTCAAGTTTATAGTTTAATATCAAATTTATAGCAAACAAATTATTTTAATCTTTCTAAGAACTTAGACATTATTTTAAATTGTCAAGAGGAAGCTTCATTCACTTATCTCTCTATGTTAAGTTTGTATCGTATGCCTTGATCTTCTACAAAAGGTTTATCTATATATTTCAATTTAGGTATCTATACAACAAGTGATTCAAGCGAATTTTCTTGTTAATTATTTTAGTGATCTTAGTATGTCAATTTCAACACTAACTTTTTATGTATATTGTTTTAGTTTTATTCTTCAAGACTCAAATATGGTAATTTTTTTTCTTTATGAATTATTTCCATAAATTTGATTTTAGATTGTTATTTTTATATTTATATAAATAAAATATTTTTTGTGGACATTTTAATAAATTAATTTGATAAATTAAGATATTTTTTAAATTTAAGAACATTTTTTTCCACGTAGACAAATTCTAGTAACTTCAAAAAATTTTAAATATTGTGAACCATGAACTTTTTTATCTATATATAAATTATGAAGATTATCTCATATAATTTTATTTATTATCAAACAAAATATAAGATAAAGTGTACATTCAATCTTATAAAACACTTAATGTGAAATAAGATTCTTATTATTGTTTTCAATCATATCCTTTCCTATTGATTTTATCTCATCCAATCTTATCCTAATTTCCAAACTTGTCCTAAAAGACCATTTAGAACTAAAACCCCGAAACTCATTAACTCCTTAAGACTCAGCCGAGATCCCAAACCCTAGGAAGATGTTGAAGTACCAAACCTAACTAAAACCAAACAACATACATGACATGGGTATTAAAAGAGACAACTTTCATTCTAAAGTCGAACCATGGACTTGTGACACAACATTGAGGGAACATGTTATAAATGGCTTTTATCCATCCTCAGCCAATTAAAGCTGAAGTATAATTTGGGTAAGATTGTCCACCGCTTCTGACACAAGAAGCATATCATTAAATTGTTGGTGGAGTGATGCCTTTAACAAGTCATGCTCGAATTTTATATCTTCCATTGAAGCGGCCATTTGTGCCGTTTCCTGTCTAACATAGGTCATCTCCGCCTTTGTTGCAGCAGATGTCACTTTCATCCTCCGTAAAGTCTTCTTTTTTTTAAAAAAAGAAAAAGAAAAAGTGAAATAATAAATACCAACAAGTACTTCATGGAGAGATCTGTATTTACCATGAAATATGATAGGATTTGTTGAGAAAATAAAAGTAGAGATATATATATATATATATAATATACCTTGAGCTTGCGCCTGAATCTCCCATGGGTTCCAGCCATTATAACTTCTTTTTACGTCTCTGCAACGCGTACCATATGCGGAAGATTGATGTTGATATCAAGGAATGGAAAATGAATTCAAGAATTAAACTTAATATTTACCTGATGACTGATGAATTTGCTCTTGTTTGCCTTAATGATTTCAGTGCTTCCACTAGTTGGTGCATGCCACTTCTTAGTTCTGCCAAATTTATAGATAAAAAAGTTTGACTCAAAATTAGGACATTGTTAAATTAATTAATCAAAAAAAATTTTCCTTACCTCATTACCTCGTCATGATTGCATCATCACCTCGTCACGGTTGCGTAACCAGTTCGAATTATTAATTTTTTTAATAAAAAATAAAAAATTTTATTATTAATTTTTTGGATACATATGAAAAGAAACAAATTAATTAACTAATGGCGGAGAAAAGCACGCCCATCATATCCCTTTCTAGGAAAAAATTCAATCCGGGACGTGGAGAATTTTATTATTAATAAGAATAAAAAAATTATAGAGTATGACTCACTATATTAGGACTCATAGAGTCTAGTAGTTAGAAGTCGCAAACTATACCACTAAATATATATAATAATTATGCCCAATGGTAGGTGAGAATAATTAATTACATATAGTTATTTATATTTAAAAATTGTATAGCAATCACTATAATAACATGTATTGAGCTATAAGGTAGGAAGAATTACTCTTTTGAACATAATATAAAGAGATTAGTGTAATGTATGTTATTTTTAAAAATATATTTTAAAGGATTTGTATAAAAATTTATTTTATAATTAATATTTTAAAAATTAATTATTAAATTATATATTTTATTTATATAAATATATATGTCAATTTTTAAATTGACATGATATTTATAATTATTTGATAAAAAAACTTTATTTACTAAGATATACATATTTAGCGGTATTTAAACTTTATATAATAAATAAATTAATTAGTTTTACTAATTCAATTTAAAATTTTATGTAAATAAAATTTTTAATTTAACAATTAATTTTAAAAAAATATTAATTAAAATATTATATTTTTTAGAATGTTCTTGATAAAGTTCATCAGGCAAAACATATCCTGACCGTAAATATCATTAACTAAAACATCCAGTACGATTAACGAGGGGTTAGATTAAGTGGTAAATGACTTGTTTTAATTTAAGTAAGATTCGAGTTCGAGACCTTATTTACGCAGTAACCTCTATTGGGAGACTCACCTATCATTTTCAGGTACACAACGCGAATCGATCCAGATTAATCGAGTAACGGGCGGAAAACCAAAAAAGAAAAAAAAACATCCAGTACGGGACCCACGACAAGAAAGAGGAATGCCTGACTCTATATAAGGATTATGGCCTCATAACCGTGTAAACAAAAATGTAAAGTCAACCGAAAT